GGACAGGACATGGTGTTTGAACCAAGAGTATTGATACAAAAAGAAGGTCTAGTACTTGTCAGAATCCGGGGTATCTATGTGTGCAGCTGTTACATATGCCCAAATATCTCCCAAGAGAGATTTGAAGAGTTTCTTGATAGGCTATCAGGAACAATCAGAAACAAAACTCCCATCATTGTTGCAGGGGATTTCAATGCTTGGGCAGTCGAATGGGGCAGTAGTAATACGACGCGGAGAGGTAGAGCCCTATTAGAAACGTTTACCTCACTAAACCTAATACAACTGAACAATGGGCATAGCCCAACGTTCGATAATGGTAGAGGCGTTTCCTACATAGATCTCACCTTTGTCAGCCCGTCATTAGTAAGGGGTTCGCAATGGAATGTAACAAACCACTACACCCACAGCGACCATCATGCAATTCTTTTTTCCTTATCGCTGAAAGAGAAGTTTGTTTTGAAAAAATCGCAGAGAAAAGCACAGCAAATAGGCTGGAAAACTAAGTATCTTGACACAGAGATAATGGAATTCATGACCGAAAACATGAGTTTCGGAGTCGGGGTTGCTTTTGAAAAATCAAATCACCTTATGAAGGAATTATGCAACGTCTGTGATGCATCAATGCCAAGAAAAGGCAGAGGTAATGGGCGCTCATCAAACTATTGGTGGACGGAAGAAATAGCTTTACTAAGATCTCAGTGCTTTGCCTCCCGTAGGCAATTCCAACGTCACAGATCTGGAGTAGATGCGGAAAGGCTTCTACAAAAATACGGAGAGAGCAGATCTAAACTTAAAAAGGCAATTATTAGGAGTAAGAATCAAGCTTTTCAAACTCTGATCAATGATGTAGACCAAAATGTCTGGGGCGATGGCTACAAAATAGTAATGCGTAAATTTAAGAGGTTAAGAGGCTCGTACCTTCATGTCCTAAAATAATGGCGAATATCGTGAAACATTTGTTCCCAAAAAAGGGAGAACTTAGAATTTTAATACCGATAAACACCGATTTAAATGAGATACCTCCGGTTACAAATTCTGAAGTCATAGCCGCTTCTTCCAGAGTTAAGCCCAATAAATCTCCTGGTTTGGATGGAATCCCCAATACTGTACTGAAGAAGGCAATACAAAAACAAGCTTCTATATTTACGGATGTTTACAACAGCTGCCTACAGGAAGGAATCTTCCCTTCGTGTTGGAAAAAGCAGAGATTTGTGCTTATTCCTAAAGGTAATAAGTCCCCAGAACTGCCATCATCTTATAGACCTTTATGCTTATTAGACACTGCAGGTAAGGTCCTTGAAAGAATTATAAGTTCTAGATTAGAAAAATTCACAGAGGCAAGTCAGGGTCTATCAAATAACCAATTTGGCTTTAGACCTAAACGCTGTACTGTTGATGCTGTACTACATGTATGCAACATTGCAAAGGAAGCTACTAAGGGCGTAAGGTGGCTAGGTGGTACTAAAAAGTACTGCGCGGTAGCGACCTTAGACGTTAAAAATGCTTTCAACACTGCTGAGTGGAGTAGCATCTTAAATGCACTGATGAAAATGAGAGTCCCAGAATATCTTTTGAAAATTATTACATCATATTTTAAAGACAGATTACTCTTGTATGATACAGAATCCGGACCGAAAATATATAGGATTACGGGAGGCAGCTAAATCGTGGCTGCAATACAGCGGATTAGAGCTTGCTGAACATAAAACTGAGGTGCTATTAATCAGCAGTAGGAAAAAGATTGAACAATTCTCAATTAAAGTGGGTGGAGTAGATATACAATCTAGCCCCCAACTTACATATCTTGGTGTAACCTTAGATAGTAGGTTGAGTTTCAAAACTCACCTAAAACAATCGGGAGATAAAGCATCACGTGTCTGCAACACATTATCTCGATTAATGCCAAACATAGGAGGTCCCAAGGACACCGCTAGAGTTCTTTTAGCATCAGTTTCCAAGTCGGTGATGCTTTATGCTGCTCCGGTGTGGACACATGCTACAACCATTAAGTCGTATTCACGTGTAATGAAAAGTGCACATAGATTGTCAAACCTACGCATCTGCCGTGCTTACCGTACAGTATCGGACGATGCTGCGGGAGTATTGGCTGGACGCATGCCAATAGACCTTGAAGCGTTCTTGGCCAGAGACAGTTTCTTACAGCGCTCTCGTCGGCGAACGACTGAAACTGGGCAATCTCTGGCAGAGTCTTATCTATATATAAGAGACGAATACCTTAATGAATGGCAACATAGGTGGGACCATTCCCAAAAATCAAGATGGACGCATGAGTCCTGACCACATAATTAGAGACTGTATAAGATTCGTAGATACTAGACAAAATCTAGAGACACTAATTGGGAAATCCAGCCCTTCTACTATGGTAATGCAGATGTTGGCAAGCATCGAAGAATGGAGCTTTTACAAGAGCATAATCTCTAGAACAATAAATACTGTTAGAGCGGACGAAATACTTAGTACACAATCGGAGTGAATGCACGCTAAGTGCTCTTCTAACCTGCCCTGTGAAGGAATACCTTAATTGGTCGTACTGCAGGGATTTTCAGGATTTTGAGTTGAGAATGTAGGGGACTTTTTAGTCCGTAGGCATGTATGACTCAATTTGAGCCGTGCATGAATCGGGCATGCAAATGGTACGGGCCATTTGTATCTTTTGAAGATTTTTCCCCCAGGTCCTATACACAAAAAAAAAAAAATGGAAGAGAATGTGATAAACATACTGGACAACCAGCACAATTTAAAATATTTAATTCAGAAACAAACATCTGTTGTAGAATCTACTGTAAATGTGCGAACAAAGGGCGAGGTCAACGGCAAATTTCGGAGTTTAACGCAGAGAATAGAAAATATTACTGAAACAATAAAAAAGTCATATTTTTTATACAGATAATCTATCAAATTTTTTATGATAATAAATGTACTTCACATAATTATTGATAAAAATGAGAAGGTTCAAGCAGAAATAATTCAGTTAATGATAGACATAAATCATGAAAAACTAAATACTGCACTTGTTACCTCATCACAACTACAGAATGAGGTAAATAAAATTCGTAAACATGTTGCAGAAAACTTAAAGCTACCAGGAAGAAAATACGATCGATTAAGGGCCATATACAAATTACTAGCTGCTAAGGCAACGATACTGAAGAATCAAAGTGGTGCTTCACCTAGCCCAGCGCCCCAAAGAGACCTCATGGAAGAAATATTTGGAAACAGCACATTGATTGCAAACTCGCACACTTTAAATTTAAGCGGTAATCAAATAATCGCATTGCCTGGAGATGGTTCGTAGCAGAGTTAAAGCACACCTACATTTCTATATTTGGTGTTTTGTGATATAAAACTGTTTTAATGTAATTAAATTGTATGGAAGAATGTGCGTAGGTTGATTAGTCTTATAGTTATTAATTGTGGTGACTTGTGATTTATCAAAATTTCAGTGATGCTAAAATCTATTGCGAAATG